TATTATTATTATTATTATTATTATAAACACTTCTCCAGACCAGGAAACAATAACGACTTTAGATCATGGTATGTTACATCATTATCACAAAACAGAATAAAGAAAGAAAAAAAAGATACAAGATTCTAATTCCACAGCATTAAAACCACTATTGTCTGAAATCTGGGCGGCCCATCTGACTGCCCAGAGTAAATTTCCAATAACTTAATCTCTCAAAAAGACTCAATCCCACACAAACCCTCATAAACAAACCTTGACATTTGATGATGCTTCAGTACGAGCGCGTCCACAGCCTCACTAGCCTCTCGTACCTGCTAGATGTTGCCTTAGATGGATGCGATATTTCAAACAGCACCGAATCCCAGAATAATCAGATCTTATTTCAATACCCAGTCAGGTCCTGAGTCATAATACATAACTAATGTAAAATCGTGTTATTGAGAGCCAGACTTGTGCCTTACAGATAAACAATTCATAATTATGCTAGAGCCTGCACGTCCCTGATGGCCTGAGAAAAAATGTGCCGCTCTCAAATACTATCCCTTCCTCCTAATAACTCCTGATAATAATTCACATGGCTGCGGAGGTGTAGAAGTGGGCTGATCAGAACGGCAACGGTGAGCCGATCCAAGAGACTTGATCAACAATGGCTGCAATGTAAACCTGTTGCTGTGGAGACATCGTCTTTTCCCCGGTAATTATTGCCAACATGCGTAAACACACTTGTGCGAAATCAGCCTCATAATCAGATGAACCGATGGGTACGAGTGTTTGTAATATCACTCCATCGGGGATGTTGATTTACTGCTTTCAATGCCAATGAAAACATTTTCAAAGAGGCGCGACACACAAACACGAATGGGACGAGTGCCAAAACAACATCAACATCATCACGGTCATCAGCAGTGGCAAACGCTTCATGTTGCCCCAGATAATTTACTTTCATTTTCAGCACTTTCAAAGCCAAAGACTTCATTATTCATCTTATTACACAAATAAACCTATACAATCAAAACAAGGAAGTTGAATTTCTTAATTAAAATTGTGTTTCAGGGCTGTTGATTGACAAATGCAAGAACTGAATGCTGTTAAGACGATGCTTAAACTAACTCAACTTGGACAAGAAAGAAAGAAATTTTGGCTTATTTATCATATTTCCCTCAATCTCATTACTATAATGCTGAAAAAAGAGATTATTATGAAGGTAAAATTATAAAATAATGAGCCCATTTTGTTTAAATGACAAAGTGTGTTTACATAATGTCAGTATTAAATTCAAGTATATTAGCAAAACATCATATTTATCATCATTTATCATCTTCATTCTCATTACTGGACTGCTGGAAAAAGCTATTACTATAAATGTGACCCTGGAGCACAAAACCAGTCTTAAGTTGCTGGGGTATATTTGTAGCAATAGCCAAAAAATACATTGTATGGGTCAAATGATAGATTTTTATTTTATGCCAAAAATCATTAGGATATTAAGTAAAGATCATGTTCCATGAAGATATTTTGTCAATTTCCTACTGTAAATATATTAAAACTTAATTTTTGATTAGTAATATGCATTGCTAAGGACTTAATTTGGACAACTTTAAAGGCAATTTTCTCAATATTTAGATTTTTTTGCACCCTCAGATTCCAGATTTTCAAATAGTTGTATCTCAAATATTGTCCTATCCTAACAAACCCTACATCAATGGAAAGCTCATTTATTCAGCTTTCAGATGATGTATAATCTCAATTTCCAAAAATTTACCCTTATGACTGGTTTTGTGGTCCAGGGTCACAAATGTAAAAGTTATAAAATTATATAAACACTTAAATTACAAATTGTGTACATCATGGCACCATTAAATTAACATGACGTATTTATCATATTTTTCACATGTATCATATTTCCTTCATTCTGTAATGCTTGAAGATATATGCAAAATTATAAAAATATATAATTACTCAAAATGGCAAAGTGTGTATACATCTTTGCAGTATTAAATGAAATGAAATTAAGTGCAATTCATGTCTGGATGCACGGCGGTAATAAGAATTTAAATAGAAAATGTGCTTAATTGTGTTCAAATAATATTACAATACAAAATATTTCTAAAAAAATAGACGGAACTGTCTTTATGCAAAATATTATTCCTTATTTATTTAGTTATGATTTTTTTTTTATGTAGTGTTATATACTGTAGAAGAGGACATGTCCTCTTACAACCCTTCCCTTTGCCTTAAGAAACATTCAAAACTGAAGAATGATTGAGATATATGAAGTATATCCCAGATTTAGAAAACAAATCAAACATCTGCCACTGTTCATGATAATTCAGCGGCCTTGCCTAGAGGAAAGAATATCTTTGAGTTCATTCTGCCATAAAGAAGAGGATGTTTCCTCTTCATACATCGCAAGAGAGCAACAAAACACATACATCAGACACCCTTTTCATGGATTTTCCTGTTCAAAGGAGTGTAGTGGAGAAAAGCTTCTTTTAAATCTTTGTCTCTTGAAGGAGACGGGAATATATAGACACAGGTCTAAAGAATCTGGAAAGACTGTGGTTTTCAATTAAGATGCAAAAGATAGCACAAAAGATAGCGGTTCAAATACTACAGATTTTGTGCTTTTTCCTCATGTTGTGTATTATGACACCCGATCATATATCATTTTACGCCAAAAGCTTCATCCACATCATATACACAGGCGGAATTGAATTAATTACTTGGAGAAAATGGCATTAAAACATAATTAATTGAATATTCATAACACTGAATATTGATTTGGGATTTAAAATGAAATGAAGTAACCCTAAGATAAAGCGTGCTCAGTTAAAGAAACATTCACCCAAAAATACTGGTCATCGTTCACTCATCCTCATGTGAACGGAAACGCTCCTAGCTGTACAAGCTTGATTTCATGCATTGTTGCTTTCTGAAATGTGTAACATTAAAGGGATAGTTCACACAAAAATTTAAATTCTGTAATTTTTTTGTCCATATACCTTTAAAAATAAAGGTTAATTATTGGCATCTATGGTTTCATGAAGAACCTTCAACATACATAGAAACTTTGCATTCCACAAAAGGTTCTTTTAAAAAATATTTAAAAAATATTCTTCACACTATAAAAAATGGTTCTCACACTGTGAAATCCCCCTTTTGGAATCATTCGTTTTCCTGTGGTGAAAATCAAGTTTTTAAAGGTGGGGTAAGTGATTTCTGGTAGCCAGTGTTGATATTTCAAATCACCAAAACAAACACGCTCCTACCCCAAAAGGGTCTCGCCCCTATTTTGATAGCTCCGCCCCACACATACGTATGCAACCCAGGCAACGATTAGTTCTGTGAAACAAAGCAAAACCAATGTTACACCGTGTCTACACCGGACGCGAGCGGCGTGACAAAATACTATAGAACTCATTATAATCAGTGATGCTGTGTACACTGGATGCATCGCGGCACGACAAATCCCTGACAGAAAACTGCTGCTGCGTTCTATTTATGACGTGTTGACACAAATTTCAAATGATTTTCAGGGGTCGCTTTATCGCATCCAGTGTAGACAGACGTTTAGCTGTTGCGGCGCGGCGCGACAACTGTCGCAACCGGTGTAGACACGGTATTACTTAAGCCGGGCTCACACTACAGGATTGAAAGACTAGCCGAATCACTGTGTTGCTCACACTACGCAACAAGATTTGTTCTCATCTGTCGTTGTCTTGTTATAGCTGTGCGCATACTACACAACCCAATGCTAACGAGGTGCACACACTAGAAAACATTCAGTGAAGAGGCGTTCCCGACCATCAGTGAAAATACGTTTTCTCACATAAATTCTTGTGATAAATTTCAGCGATTATAGGCCATATCTTCAAGCATGGACGATTAACTGGCCCTTCAATTGGTCTGTGCAGTTATTTTATCCGAAAGAAAGAAGAACAACAAAAGAGAATATGGCAGAAACAATGGCTTGGAAGACGTGGACAACAAGGACTGTCAGTACTGCAGAAAGAGTTGGAGGTAATTAAACAGTATACTATATTAAATATTATAATATTATATATTTTTATATGATATATTTTGAGTCAAAACAACCCAACCGCTGGGTCAAAACAACCCAATAGCTGGGTTTGTCCCTTTTTAACCCAGCGCTGGGTTATATTTACCCCAGCATTTTTTAGTGTATATATTATATACTATATATTGTATACAATTAAATGTGGTATTATATACACAACCTATGCATTTGTTAAATTTATTTCTAGTTAGTTGATTTGATTAATTTGTGGCTTTTCGTGTCTGTTCATAAAGATGCATGATAAGAGTGTTTATACCATCTGCACTGTGATTGGCTAGATTAGTTCCACCTTGTCATTGTGTTGCTCACATTACGAGATCACGTGGCGATAATATCAAACAGGTTTGAAAATATCGTAGTGTTTGTGATAGCTCGAGACAGGTTCGGATCACGTTGCTGACCTGCTCATACTTAAAGACCGCAACGAGCACCGATTTGGTCCTGATCCGGGGGTTTTGTCGCAGACTGTGGAAATCTGTCTGCGACAGCAAAATCCAGCCAAAAATCCTGTAGTGTGAGCCCAGCTTTACCTATCGAGAAGAAACAAAGCAACCTCGGCGTCCGATCACAGGCCTTCCGCTCCTTGAGTTCTCTCCAGCGCTGGACAGCTGATCCGATATTTACATGGGTCCTACTTCTTGCCTTATCTGAAGCCTTCTTTTGTTCCGCAGATGGTTTCCTCTTTTTTTAATCCGCCATCTCTATCTTTCTGTCGCTCGGCTCAGCTAATGTCCGTCCGGTGCACTGAACGCTCTCTCCTCCACATCATGAGTACTGCTGATTGTAAGGGGCGTGTGTGAAGTTGTTGAGATCTATTCTAAAGCTTTAAAAGAGACAAATGTGAGAGATCCAGAGTCTCTAGCTAAGGAGAAATGTCTTTGAGATGTTAAAGAGATCTCACTTTTGATTTTTCTTTCCTATGGGGTGTCCAACGTTATAAAGAGCAATATATTAAAATGCATTACCATTCTGATATATCAACTTGCAGACGACCCTGTATAATTAACCCTCTTCCTAATTTAATAAAGCACATTTCTGGCTTTATACTGTCAAGCTTTAAAAATGACAAAAAAAACAAGGAAGTCCATATGACTTGTGCACTACTTGTGAACTCTTCTTTCTATTTGTGACCCTGGACCACAAAACCAGTCTTAAGTCGCTGGGGTATATTTGTAGCAACAGCCAAAAAACATTGTATGGGTCTAAATTATCGATTTTTCTTTTATGCCAAAAATCATTTGGATATTAAGTAAAGATCATGTTCCATGAAGATATTTTGTAAATTTCTTACCGGAAATACATAAAACTTAATTTTTGATTAGTAATATGCATTGCTAAGAACTTCATTTGGACAACTTTAAAGGCAATTTTCTCAGTATTTAGATTTTTTTGCACCCTCAGATTCCAGATTTTCAAATAGTTGTATCTCAGCCAAATATTCAATTTAAGACCGGTTTTGTGGTCCAGGGTCACATTTAGTCATGAATATCTGGTTTGGCAAAAGCAACAATATTCATCTATTCATATTTTTCAAGTGCATTGAAATTAGATTGCTAGAGGGAGTTTCCCCAATAAAAGTTACTGAAGTCCTGTCAAATGCTCGTGTGATGATAACATCTGCTGCTACTTCAGCTCACTGAAGCAGATATTTATCAGGAACCATGAGAACACTGAAGGTGAAACTGGATTTAGCTCTGTGGCCAACACTCTAATAATTACAGGCTTTGGTTTTTAATAAGCGCTTCTGAAAGTCATTATGGAATTTAAGGACGTCATTAATGGCCTGCCACACATATAGTGTGATGGGTTGTACATTTGTCGCTCTTCTATGGAGCTCACTCGCACTCTCTATTTCAGCTAGTAAACACTGTCCTACCTACATGTGCAAAACTTGTACTTTTAGGGGTACCAACAGCTTGTCACTGGGGCAGTACCCTTAAAGGGATAGTTCACCCAAAAATGAAAATTCATCATTTACTCACCCTCATGTCGTTCCAAACCTGTATGAGTTGCTTTCTTATGTTGAACACAAAAGATATTTTGAAGATTGCTGGTAATCAAACAGTTGGTGGTTGCCATTGACTTCCATAGTATTTTTTTTTCCTACAAAAAAACATTTTTGGGTGAACTATCCCTTTAAAGGTACATATTTGTATCATAATTACCCCTAAAAGGTGCATAGTAGTACCCTAAGGTGCATATTGTATTACAACTCTAAGGTACTAACATACCTTTTAGGGCTACTACTCCAACGAAAAGCAGGGTTTTTTTTCACATTTTCATTTTTTCCAGACAAGTGTTGACAGCATTTTACAACATCACAGGCGCACTCATGCTGCCTTCCCAATTTTGGCCAATATCTAAGGCAACATCACGTGTCCTTTTGAGGAGACAATCCCAGAATATAACGGCAAGCCCAAAAATGTATCCAAAATGAAAATTAATACAAGAAATGTTGATTAATTCAATGACAAAAAAGTATTGATACAAATAACGTAGTTCAATATAACATAAAAACTACCCAATATTTTGTTTGCTACATGTTTTATGTTTATTGGACTACTAGAGTATCGCATCACTGGCTTATCAACTATAACAACAGTTTAGGAGACTTTCTTTAAAAATCATTTCAATGGCTGGCAAAGAACAATGGACATTTTCTACATTAAGAAAGAACATTGTTACTTGAAATCACAGTAAAGCTGAGTAAATTTGTGTGTTTGTGTGTATTTTGACCTACCTGCCTGCTTGTAGAACACCAGATATTGTGAACAGGCCAAAGTCGGTGATGACCACTTTCCCATTGTCATAAAATACATTCTTGGATTTCATATCTTTGTGAAGGATCCCTTTGGCATGTAGGTAGCCCATGCCCTGAAAAAATGGTGTTAATGTAATTAGGGCAATTGCATGTTTTTGGTCTACTGCTAATTTTGTCTAGATTTTTTTCGAAGTCTAATTGCAATTTTTCTCATAAAAACTGATCACAATTTAAAATGCAGTTTAAAAAAGCTCCAGGTCTGCTGTGTTGTTTGTAGGGCTGCACAATTTGGCCCAAAATTATAGATTATACATGAATGACTGCAATAATAATAATAATAATCATCATTTTATTTTACATTACAATAGTAAAATAGTAATTGTTATTGTTGCAAAGCAAACTGAGCTGCTCTGAAACAATAAAAACACTGAATCATGAGCTGCTAGCTTGAAAAGGAACGCAGTGCCACTCTTCACTCTGAAACACACTCTGCATGTATTTATTTAATTCAATCACAGTCTTTGTGATTTAATAATTGTGTAATTTCAGTTTTATTCTGATTCATCGTGCAGCCCTAAATGTAATCACATGCTGTATATGTGAAGGAACAGCACATGTACAGGTAGATATGAAGGCTTCCCGACACTGACATGTTTTGCAAAATAACTGCTATACACATGTGAATCAATTTTAGCTGACATTTAACGAACAGTCTTCACATTGACTTCACATCAATTACTCTTACCTTCACCATCTCTTGTGCGATTTGTCTAGTCTTGTTCACGTCGAGAACGACTTTTGCATCTCGAATCACTGAGTAGAGGGTCCTGCCCTTACACAAACTACAACAGAAGAACAAAAAACACATATTAGGCATCAGCAGCAACCATAACATCAAAATATGTCCAGTTATTTTACAGCTCTTTGTGCAGATTGTGGGTTTTCAAAACCATCTTTGCAGAAATAAAGAATAGCATTCCAGGTGCAGATTCAGTGTATAAAAACAACTCACTCAAATATGAATCAAATAAAATTGGACTATTTTTATAATTCACTGGCAAAAATACTGTACTAGAAGCTCTAAAGGTAAAGGCAGTTCAATTAAAATGAAATAATATCATGAGATTGATTACTGATGTCCATGAGAGTACTAACCGGTATTGGTCATAATTAAGTTTGCAACTATGAATGCATTTAACAATATATTAAAAATATGAATGCAATTTAGATTGATGAAGAATGGCAATAAAGCCTGCCAGAAAATAACTAATTTAGCCAGTTTATGAGCTTTAGGTCACAATGCAAAAAGTTCATGGATAACCCCTCATTGAGTTTGAACCTACAACCTACATTATCATAGGACGTATGTTAGGACAAGAATGATACATGTTCATACTTCAGCATGCTATTCTGAATTTACATACAAGCAGACTTGAGCACTGTCACTTGGAGGACTAATGATGCTGAGCGGGCCATGAACTTCACCTCCGCAGGAGCGAGGAGAAAGAAAGCCCTCCAACTCCCTGACATCTGTGGTCCTACTGTGCCACCTGACAAAGACGTCTGCGTCTTTCCCCGGGCTGCCCTCTTCCTCCATTTATACATATTCATAATGCCATCAGGGTACGAGGCCCATTTTTAGCATCACTCTGGCCTTTTGGCCTTCTGCAGTGTGGAACCCTTTGAATGCGGGATGCACAAATGCAAATGCTGAACTCTGTATATGTGGCGTCAGTACAGAAATGTGTCGCGTACATCAGCTGTTAACACTAATAATGTCAAGACAGACTATTCCGAATAATGACAGCCTTTGACATTCTGCTGCAATTATGTTGTACACGCTGCATTTGTGAGCAAAAGCTGAACTTTTATTCCACACTGCAGGGGTGATATGAAAAACAATCAATGCATAATCACATGACAATGCTGAGACACACAATCAATATTTATTTCCCTTATTTATTTTTATGAAAGAGGTCATTTCTAGCAATTATATCTCAATTTGTTTGTTTGGGCCTGCTGGCCTATGATTAAGGACTATGAATAAAACCATTATGACTTTTGTCTGTGTTAATAGAAATACACAAAATCATGCACTAACATTAGTCAGGATTAGACATGAATATACTTTTTTTTTTTTGTGAATGAAAACGATTTGCCAATAAGGTAAGAAAAATAAACTTGATTCACAAAATATTCTCTGAATTATGCTACTTTTTTTAGAGAGTTTTACCAGAACTTAAAAAATACTGAAAAAAGTCAGAGCTACATTTAAATATGGGCTATATTAAATATTATATTATTTGTTGGCGCCGATAGCCTCGTGGGCTTTCCCGAACCCATCCCCTCTCTATCTCCCACTTCGCTTCCTGTCATCATACTGTCCTATCACAAAAATGCACAAATAAATCTTTAAAAAAATATGTATATCATAATATTTATTATATAATACTGTATTTTGTGTGTTATATTATTATTAATATTAAAATACCTATCTATCTATCTATCTATCTACAAATAATATAATTAATATAATTCAGCAAAGATGCATCATTAAATTTATCAAAAGTGACAGTAAACTATTTCAAATAATTGCTCTTATTCTGAACTCTCTATTCATCAAAGAATTGTGAATTTTTTTTTTATTATATAATATTATGATTAACAATATCATAGTCAAAAATAAATATTAGATTATAAAATGAACAGTTAAAAACTAAGATATATACGTAATATATTTAATACCTTATTCGATCCAAGAAACTAAACACTTTGATTCTAGAAAAGGAAAATAAAAGTTGAATCCTCTGTTGAAATCTTTTATTGGCCGTGGCCATGCAGCACAGCACCTTTTTGCAGACAAACAAACAGGAAGCACCAATTTGTGTGGCAGGAGGAAGGAAATAATATTGACCGTCTCCTGTTCAGACAGGATGTTTTTCACAAACCTCTCTGTTCATAGCTTCTGAGAATTCTGAGAAGTGAAAAAATTCAGCCACTTATGTTTACATTTGTGGTCAAAGACATGTCATTTTAATTTAGGCTGAAAACAGCCACTAATGCAAGCTACGAGGTCATGCTGATTAGAGAAGATCAGGAAAAATTGAGTCAACTTTAAGATACAGTCATGAAGCTTAGTACACATGCACCGGAAACACTGGGAACTCAACGAACATTGTTCAAGCTTACGTTGTGATGATGGCCAGATGAGGGGGTCTCATACATGCTCCCATGAACAGGACCACGTTTTCATGCCGTGTGTTCCTGTACGCCATCACCTCTCTTTTAAACGCTTTCAGCTGTTCTTCATTGTCTCTTTCAATGTCGATTAGCCGTATGGCCACTTCTCCGTGCCAGCGTCCGTGGTAGACCTGTCCAAAGCGACCTTTCCCGATCAGCTCTCCGATCTCCAGCTGCTCCATGGGAATGTCCCACTCCTGCAGGAAGATGCTGGTCTGGCTGGCCTTACGTGGGAAGTTCCGTGCAGACAGGAGGGAGAGATTCATCTCCTCGAACTCGTCCGCTGAACCCTCGGCCTCATCATTGCCTTCCTCGTTCTGATAGATAAATAGAACGATAAATATAACTGTAGAACAGCAGACAGAAAGATGAATGAATGGATGGATGGACGGATGGATGGATGATAGGTAGATGCATAGGTGGATGGATGGATGGAATGATAGAGTAATAGATAGATAGACAGACAGACTGATAGATAGATAAAATGATAGAATGGCAGAGTGATGGAACCATGTATTGACAGAACGAATGAGAGAACGATAGATAGATAGTGAGTGTTGGAACGATAGGACATCAGACAGACAGAACAATAGTTAGACAGATAGGCAGAACAAAAGAATGGTGGAGCGATGGAACCATGGAAGAATGAGAGAACAATAGATAGATAGTCAGTGATGGAACGATAGGACATCAGACAGACAGAACAATAGTTAGACAGATAGACAGAACGAAAGAAAGGTGGAGTGATGGAACCATGGAAGGATAGAACAAATGACAGACAGACAGACAGACAGACAGACAGACAGGACAGACAGACAGACAGACAG